AACGAATAATTGACGGCATTAGCTCAACCCGAAACTATTGCCGAAGTTCAATTCTCATTTACTTTCAATTGCAGAAAAGAAACTTTTGACATATTATCTTCACACAAAGCAAAGCCTAAGTAATGAAATTTGCTAGTCAATTCATTACGTATCCACTATTTGCATATCTTTTTAAAATAAGTGAACAAAACATGAACTACACGCATAAATATAGGATGATAAATGTTCAACGTATAAATGTTCACCGTAATGTTCAATTTGAGGAAGAAAGGAACCACGAACTACACGCAAAAGTAATGATGAAATATAGGATGATAAGAAAAAACCATTAGAATAGCTAATGCAGATTTCTCCATGTTTAATGTATAAAGGTGCAGCGTCTTAATCCCGTTAGCTATAATCTTGCGGCACATTTCTGTTCCAAGGTGAATCCCATACGCTTTGACAGCTTCATCATTGTCCTTGATAGGCTCTAAGGCTGCGATAACCTCATCTGGTATCTACAACGAGCCAATAAAATTAGATGTTACAGTCGAAAACTACTAATCGAAGTAACCACCAAATACTTCATATTCACTCTTCTAAGCAGCCATAACGAGTATATTCAAACATTAGTAAAAAAACGTAACAGTCCAAACATATGCATTATTATTATGATACTGCATACCTTAGTTTTGCAAAAGCCGGTCATGCGCAAGAAGCCCTTATAGTTATTAATGGGCATAATACCGGGCACGATAGGACATTTAATTCCAATTTGGCGACAGTCATTGACAAATTTGAGAAAGATATCGGTATCATAAAACAGTTGAGTAACAATCAGATCAGCTCCTGCATCAACCTACGGAGTAAAGAGGGTTTAACACAACAATTAACTAGTACAAGGAAATCGAGATATTAAAATTTAGAACAAAACTTTCAAAATAGCCAATGAGTTAAAAGTAAAACCTTTCTCTTCAAGTACGCAAGATCACTCTGATAAGCTTCCGGTGTCGCTACGCCATTATCTCCGATAGCATCAGGATGAGCCTCTGAGACAAAAAAAAACATTAATAATCACAAACCACAAAAGAAGACTATTTGTAGCAGACAACTAAAAGAAGATCAAAAGCACCTGGATAACCAGCAACTGTTATGCCGAAGTAGTCACCATACTTAGCTCTAATATGTTTCACCTAGAACATTGTAAGAGAACTTAGTAACATATTCCAGGTAAAAAAACGGAAGCAAAGTAAATAAATAAAGAACAACGATGTTCACCAGATCGAGGGCACAGGCAAATCCGCCTTCGACCTGAACGAACTTGTCCTGGCCATGAGGCGGGTCGCCTCGAAGGGCGAGAACATTCTGAATGCCATTGGACTTGATGTTCTCAAGAGCATGGTCAATCTTCTCAACAGGCATGTTGGTGCAAGTGAGATGCATCATTGTTTCGACACATATGATGTTTTGCATCTTGTTAGCAATGTCGAGAGTGAGATCCGCCGTCGAACCACCGGCACCCCATGTGATGTCGCAAAAAGACGGATTATGAGCCACCATTCGATCCATCCTCTCGAACAGGTTGTCCACACCATCCTCAGTCTTTGGAGGGAAGAACTCAAAGGAAAACACCACTTTCCCTTGGTCCTGTTGCAAAGACTGGATCTTTTCTATCACCTTCATTTTTTTAAATTGGATCTGGGATTCTCAGTGCCAACAACAACTGCAAAAGAATTGAAAATCAAAACCAGATTTTCTAAGACATGATAAACAAGAAAGAAAGATCAAACCCAAACCCAGATCAGAATGAAAAACTGATAATTCAGAGATAAACCCAAGATTCAATTTTGAAGAACAACATAGAAAAGAAGAAAAAAAATGAAGAATACACATTTTACATCAATCATTTGTAAGTAAATTAGATCAGCTGAAACATAAATGACACATTAATACTACAAATTGCATATTCAAGAATCTAACAGCTAATAAACAAAGACAAAACCTTCCCATATCCATGGAAATGTGAAAAAGAAAGGGAACTCACAAGAGGGGGGCTATTGGGATCAAATGAGAGATCTGAAGCAGAGAATGATTGGGAAATTGAGCTAGTATTTGAAGGTGAGGGGAGGGTTGGTGTGATTGAAATGACAAAGTTGCCATTCAACAACCCAAAAGCAAGTGTTAATTAACCCATCACTTCACGCATACCGACTTCCATAAGTCATAGTTTCAGCAATATGATATTATTAATAAGCTGCAAATTCCAATCATATACATTATTTAAATTTTACCAACCATATTATTAAAAAAATTCATTTTTTCCAATGTTTTTAAAATCAAAGAGGACATTGAACCGATAAAAATACTGGTTTACTGGTTCAATCGTGTTTAACCGCAGTTGAACCGGATATTATATAAAATAATATATTTTTTTTCAATTTTACATAATATTCAAAGCAATATTAATATATATGTAACACTTTTTTTAAGTTTACAATATTAAAATGTATAAAAATATCACAAGTCATAACATATATAAATTAAAAACCATAAAATCAAGTGAAATAAAATGATTCAAATCAACTACAACATAATATTTAAGGTAAAACATATTAAATAATCAATATAAATATATAACTATAATAAAAAAATAAAATTGGGGTTTAAAAAATCATAACAAATGATGTCATTTAGTTGGCAAATGATGTCATTTGGTTTAATTTAAAAAAAACAATCTCACATTGCTAAGAAACATAGAAGAGCATTTCAAAAGTTTAAATAGTAAAAATATGAGAACAAAACAATCCCACATGACTAAGAAACATAGAAAAGCATCTCAACTTACTTCTATAAATAATAGAGGTAATTTGACATTCAAAATCATGAAACCTTTTGGTTAGCACAGAGCGAACCATTCTTTTGCTTCAATTGAGCTCAAATTTTAGGCTTCAATCGAACTTCTAAATTTTTATTCAATTCGAGCCTTTTCGAGTTCAAGTTTTAATATTATATTTCGAGTTCTAGTTGAACTTGATAATTTTTAGCTCGTGAGTTTTTGAGTCGAGTTGAGCTTACTTTTAAAGTTTTCGAGTTCGAGTCAAGATCAGCAATACTCGAATTTGACTTGGCTCGTTGAACAAACGACGTCGTTTGGTTTGATTTTTTTTTTAAAAAAAAAGTGAATCGACGGTTCAAACCAGTTTTATCGATTTTCAGCCGGTTTTATGAGGTAACCGGACCAGACAGGCCATTGGTTCACGGTTCAACCGGTTAAACCGTCATATCCGATCCAATTTTGATAACCATACTTTTTTCAATCTATTTTTTTTCAATATTCTTACATGGTTTTCTTTTTACGTTTTCTTTAATTTTTATTTAGTCGACAACTACAACAATTTTAATATTAATTGTTAATTTTTATATTATATCTTTTATTTTAATTTTTTATTGAGTCTGTTTAATTTTAAATAAAATTTTCGTTCATCGAGACATTTTTTTTCCTCTTGTGATACACATTTTCTCTTCTTATAGTACGATCGTTATGATTTTTTGTGCGTTTTTCGCAAAGCTTTGTAGTTGTTTTACTACTCGCACAAAAATCATGATGAAATTTATTTTCTGATCGGTTTATCGACAGTCACATATAGTTAGATCTCATCCTTAGTAAAAGATTATTTGTTGATGTAATCAGAATTTGTAACGAAACAGACTGTCAGATTGTTTCGTTCTCCCACGACTCTTTTATCACTTTGTAAAATATCTCATTCGACAAAGACAATAAATTCTTATAAAGATTATTAGATTTTGATATTGATTGTAATTATCAAAGTAATATTTTATTTTTCTTTGTATCTTTAAGTTTAATATTTTATTATCCCAATATAATCAATCAAATCAAATCCAATAACGGTATAAATTCATTTCCCAACTTAAAATCTCAGCCGTCCATCAATTATAATCCAGCCAATGTGCGTTTCCCGCAAATAAATTCCTTGGCACACCACGCGCCCCCTTGCTTCCTGCATTCCACCGCCAGATTCCTTTCACGAATTTGTTTCCCTTCTATTCTCAAAGCAGCTTAAAATTGATTTTGTCGCAATACCAGATCTTACTTGTTTCCATTCCAAAGGTTAGTTTCAATTTCCCTATTTTGTTTTCATTATATATATATATATATATTGCGTTCTTCCTATGGTGAACTATGTGGATGATTTTGTTATTAAAAATGGCTTTTGTTTTACTTTTTGAGGAATGGGTCTTAACGGGTGAAGGTCAAATTTCAAAGGGATGTTGGGTTTTGGAGGGTTAGTACATTTTCATTTTTTATGGGTAGCTGAAAAGATGTTTTCTTTCCTTGAAATCGCGTTGTTTTACATATTAATTTGCTGCTAAAGTTTGATTCTTTTTAGTGGTGGAAAAATAAAATAGCTAGAAATCTGATTGATTTGTAATAATTGCTATACATACAGGGTGTTAGTTTAGATTTTTTTTTTTGGTGGGGGGAGCTTCAATTCAGTATTGAGGCTACTTTTGAACTTAAGTTGAATGCTTTGGTTAAACATTGGATGGAATTTTGATGTGCTGAATCTTTAAGAAGATTGCTTCGGTCAGATTGGTCAGGCGAGATAGGCGTACTGTATTTTTCAGTGATGAAAAATGAGATTTTTGCGGTTAATTCGATTAATTAGTTGCTGGGAAGTGTTTTTCTTATTTGGTAGAGGTTTTAGTTTCTTCTATGATTTAAGCTTTTGAATAGATAGATTCGCATGGGTTAGCTGCGATACCGGTGAGTATCTAGATGTCAGCGTTCATTATCCTTTGGCTAAAGTGAGATGCCATTGCAATTGCTTCTGTATTATCAAGATGTTATTCGAATTTGATAAGAGTGGTGTCATTGTAGGCTTATAGGATTTGGTTTTGTTGACGTAGAATGATTTTTAATGGCATTCTATGTAGTAATGCTGGGGGTTTATTTTTTTTATTTTTTCGTGATCTCTACATCCGTGCCTGTGGATTTTCGTCTGTTTAGTTGATTTCTCTAAGTCAAAAAGATTTTCCCATCGAATAAGTTGAAAGGGGGCTGAAACGCAGTGATAACTTTATTTTGCTAGATAGGTGCTGTGAATCTTGAACATAGCTGGTGTAGAAGATTAGCCGAGTTTGGGCCTTATACGGAAGTCGGCCGAAGCTGATGTTAGAAAAGCTTTACGTAATTGAGAGTTGTGCAACTGTGTTAGAACACTTTGCTCTCATGAAACTAAATGCTAGAATATCAATTCCTTAGATTCTTTTGTACACTTTTTCCCTATGGCTCTCGGTCATTTGGCCTTCTAGCAAAAGGTTCACTTTATGTGCATATCTGAATCGGTGTACATATGCCATTGTCTAAAGTGTTGTGGCGTTTGTTTTTTAGTTAGTTTTTTTACTTGTCTCTTTCCGTCTTTCGATAAAAGAATATTTTGTTGAGCTAAACATGGTACTTTTTGTTTAATTTGTCTGTCAAATGATTTTAGAATCTCAATTCTTTATGGACACTAAATGCAGGTTTTATGACAGTTTCAAGACTTAAGTAAAAGGTGTATCAGCTGAACGATAATACGTTTTTAGTATAGAATGGAAGATGGGCTTTCAAGCTTCTGGGGTCCTGTTACATCCACCGACCGGTGTGAGAAAAACTACGTTCACTCATCTTACATTGCGGAGTTTTTCAACACTATATCCAATGTCCCGGGCATTCTTTTAGCACTCATTGGCCTTATAAATGCCTTAAGACAACGATTTGAGAAGAGGTTTAGTGTCCTTCACATATCTAACGTGATACTCTCCATTGGGAGCATGATATACCACTCCACACTGCAACGTCTGTAAGTATTCCGTTCCCCCAAATGCTTCCGACATTAGATGAATGTCTCTCCAACCGAGACATTATATTGGAACATATTGTTTCCGTATGCCTGATTAGAAGATCGTTTTTTTCCTTGTAGTGGTTTGTTTAGTAGAAACAATGACTAAATTTAGGGTTTATTTGATTATTGTTCACTGCTTCTGATATGTCAGATGAACTTTAGAAACATTGCTGCTGATGTTATGTAGCTTTAAGAATTAAGATTTAAAAATTCGCAATCCTTTATTGTTTACCAAGTTGATTTGCAATGTCAAATTCCGAATTCTTTTCAGGCAACAGCAAGGTGATGAAACTCCAATGGTGTGGGAAGTACTTCTATATTTTTACATCCTCTACTCACCGGATTGGCACTATCGGAGTACAATGCCTACTTTCCTGTTCTTTTACGGAGTAGGATTTGCAGTAGTCCACGCGCTCTTCCGATTCGGAATTGGCTTTAAGGTGCACTACGTCATTCTTTGCCTTATCTGCATCCCTCGCATGTACAAATACTATATCTACACGAAAGATGCCACTGCGAAACGACTCGCAAAGTTATATATAGCGACTCTGCTCCTCGGAAGCATATGTGGGGTTTCGGACCGGGTATTCTGCAAGCAGATATCTAATTGGTACTTCAACCCTCAGGGCCATGCCCTATGGCATGTCTTCATGGGCTTCAACTCGTATTTCGCCAACACATTCTTGATGTTTTGCCGCGCGCAGCAGCGAGAATGGGATCCGAAAATCGTCCACTTCTTGGGTGTTCTCCCTTATGTCAAGATTCAAAAACCAAAGAGCCAGTGAAAAGGCTTGCTTGCTGCACAAGCCGTTTCTTTTTTACCTGGAAGAGATGATTGTTTTGTGATTGTCCCATATTTTAACATTCATAACCTCTCTTATTAGCTCTTATTAGCTTTCATGGATTTCATGGATTTGGACCCTTGGTTTTACAGAAATTAGTTTAATGTATTTGCGAGTGATAGAAAATAGGGCAAGAATTTTGGTCTTTGAGGGTGTTTTTTTGTCCAACTTTTCAGAATTTTTTTTATTAATCTGGGATAAGTACAAGCGGTATATGTTCAAAGATAAACTCTTAATCTTTCGACATTGATCGCTCACACCCCTGATAATTATGATGCTCGAACCCAGATCCTCCGGAATAATAATAATTTATTGATCACGGATACCACTTCGTGCTTTCTAAATAAACCCTAATTTTAACAAATAATTCAATAAAATATATCTCTATATATGTGAAATGAAATGAGGAAGACAAGTGGAAGGGGAAATGACAATAAATTTGAATGTGATGTCTGCAAACTTTGCCTTTGGTCCCATCTCCATTAGATGCTGCTCTATTTGTCCTGTATTTTTCAAAATCATGTATTAATTTTAAGGATTAGGATAAATAATTATTCTAATATTTTAATAATGAGCATAAAATATATTTTAAATATTCATGTATGTTCACCTATGAGAAGTAGGGCAGAAAAGGATGAGATAATCAAAGGCCTTGCAAGTGAAAGTGCTGGTGCCATCATCATAAGCATAACTGTAAGCCCCAGGGCATGCCCTTTGGAAATGCTCGAGTAAAATGAAGGCCTACACGTTGTTGGGCTTCCGAATCAAATAATTAGTTTATATAAAATAAAAGTTTAATTTAAAAGTTTATTTATATATCACGAATCAAACGATTACAATAATTAAAAAATAATTGTTATTCGGTGTTTAAGCCTAACATGTACAATCCTATAATCACCACGTACTAATAAAATAATTAGTTTATATACAACTACATATTTTCACAAAATGGAGTTCTTGTTATGCTTTTTAATCTTTATTTTTTATTAATTTCTGTTTAATTTTATTATCAATTGATGATTTTATAATTATAAATAGATCACATAACCTTCTAAGTTTCTTAAATTTATTTTTTTTATCAATTTAACCTTTAAATTTTTAAAAATTAATAAAAGATTATTAATTTAAGCAATAATATTTTTGTTGGAGTCCCGATTGAATGAAATCACCCTAAACCCCGATCATATTGAGTTTCATATATATATTTTTTTGGTTGAATCGTGTTAAGCTACGGATGAATGATGTATATATTTTTATTTAAATCGGGTTGACCAAAAATCTAACCCAATCCTACCCATAATCATCCCTAAAAATATCACATCAATTGATTAGTTGAAGATATCATGTCAATTAAAAATAAAATAAGATTTTCATATTAGTATATGTAACGATTTCCAGGTTCAGATATCAAGTAGGTCAGGAAAAAAAACAATTAAATTTAAGGACAAGTGTCATCCATGTACTTAAGACTGAGTTCAAGGATACATTTTAAAGATACACGGCATCCATTCATTGTATGAAGATGACATATCAACATAATTTTAACAGACCTACACTTTTGGATTAATGAATGCGACAATTCCCTTCCCTTTCCAAGTTCAAGAACTAGGTACCCCAAGGGTGGAGGACAAATGATTAGAGTGAGTGATTTCACTCTCACAATATTATAAATAATCACACTCGCCTTTACACATAAGGGAGTTAAAGCCCGTGGACTAAAATTGAACGGATCAATAACATAAAAGATTAAAACCACCTTTTTTTTAATCGATAACCAAAATTGAAGGGCTGAGAACATAAGGGACAACTCATGAATTTACCCTTTCTTTCATATCCATCTTCCCTTGTCTGTTGTAAGACTTGTAGAATTTCCACTGTTTTTAGATAGATCGACAAGCATTCCGATCATAAAAAGTTTGACCTTTCTGTCTACAAACTATTTGGAATCTTAGGATCTTTTGAGAAATAGACTTCAGAGTGTCACATTTGTTTGAAATACAACTAACGACAATGACCGTAATGAAAACGAATTAAAAGTTTAGTAATTGTAATATAAATTTTAAAAATTCAGTGATCGAAACAATAAAGGCTTGAAAGTTCAGTTACAATCAGTGTAGTTTACCCTTTATATTAGAAGTGCTTTCACGGATATATCCAGACCGGCCATAAAAGCAACCCTTCTAAAGTTAAAGAAAACCACATTCCAAACATTCAAACACAACCATCTGTCGCCATTGATAACCAAAATATCCAAGTGCATATAATGGCAATCTCTATTCTCATCCAATTAATCAAAGGAAACATAAATAACATCACCTATGTTGCTGACCCGTCGTTTTTCTTTGAATCTTGGTTTTCAAGAGCGCAAGACGCGCCGAGGCGCAAAAGGTCCCTGGAGCTTAGGCACAAGACGCGCACCTTTCGTATGCGAGAATCACTGTTTTAATATATAATATATATCAAGTGAAAATATACTTTGTACTCAAAATAACATGAAAAATAATATTATAGTTCTTCAAAGATCAAAACATTCAATACCATTACACTATCAACTAGCAACAACACAAAATAACATAAAAAAACATAGTGAGTGAGAGTTATTTTTAAGATGGGGTTTTTTTAATATTAAATTATAATAATTTGTTAAATAGTAATATCTTTAAAAAATTCGAAAGGCGCTGCTCCCGGCGCCTAAAGCCCTGAGGCGCGCGCCTCTGAGCGCCTCTTGTAAATCGCCTCAACCCAGACGGTTGCCATCTTCATCGCCTGGCTGCGCATCGCCTAGGTGCGCCTTAAAACTAAGCTTTGAATACCACTAGTATCGATACCACCGTCAAATGCATATCATATTCGTACATGTATACAAAGATATGACCCTCCAAAACTCTCCAAATACATCGAAAAATAACTTTTAAAAAACAAAGTCATACAAAACACATGCCCCACCTTAGTTCAAGTAACATGGAGCATCCGTGTTGTCCGAGTAAAGGGAAGGTCGTGGTAAACAATTTATGAAAACCAGTTTCATAGATTATTAGCTCCAGATACGTATGATGTACTATCAGTGTAAAAAATCTACTAGACATCGGCAGAAAAATTTTGGAATTTAATGAATTAACTAGAAAACAAAACTCAAGGAAATTTGTGTGTAATATACATCATAATAGTACATGATACCTCATAAACACTGATATTTTAGCCAAAATTTCTTGAAGTATTTTGCTAACTACCTACACAATTGACAGAAGTATCTTTAACTACTAATATCTAACTAAAAAAAATTCCAAGCATTGTCCAGGCTCAAGAATCCATGTCAAATATTTACCTTCAATTTTGCAGTAGTTTGCTCTGCGCTTTACGACCTGTCAACATTGGTGGATATCCGTGTTGTATCACCATAGCTAGAGATTTTCAGATTGTCATTTTCAAAACCTGTGATATACAAGTAATGAACACATTATTCTCAGCTCAATTCTCTTTTATTGTCTGGAAAGCACAAAAAGAATATCAATCCCATAACCTTTTTTCAACATTTTAACAATAATTGATTCAAATATTGATAAAGATTCATCGCTATCAAGCCTTTGAAGTTCAAATCGAGTTGTAAAATACAATTTTAGTCAGTAGCGGGACCGCTATCCGTGGCTCAACTCAAGGTTTGAACTAGGAATGAGCAAAACTCAACTCGACTCGAATCGACTTCGAGTTGCAATTTTATAAACTCGACTCGAAAAAATTTTAAGTTCAAATCGAGTTGTAAAATACAACTCGAATAACTTGAAATTTTTAGTAATTAGTGAATTTATTTTCAAGTTTGAGTCAAGTCCTTCGACTTTGTATGATATATGTATATCACATATGAAGAAATATATTTGTACTGTATATATGATTATAGAAAGTCACTTAAATTGGAATTAAATGATATTATAATATTATAAATATTTACAATTAAATTTAAATAGAAACTCGAAAAATCGACTCGACTCGAATTTTATAAACTCGACTCGATTCGAAAAAATTTCAAGTCAACTCCGAGCTGTAAAATAAGACTCGTCAACTCAAACAACTCGAAATTTTTTTACTCGACCCGATCGAACGCTCACCCCTAGTTTGAACATTGAGTTTCCCCTACCTAGCAAACAGAAGGAAAATAATCTTTAGAATCATACAGGCTGAGGGTGATTTACAGTTCCCAGGCTTACTGAAAATTCAAGTCCTATTTTGCAGGTCAAAAAGTTATATTTTTAAGTATTTTATGTTATCTTTGTCAGACTCCAGCAACATCTGGCACATATAACTACCCTGGGTTTGCTCCTCGCAAGATCATCTTTAAGACCCTAAAAAACAAAATTTTACTTCTAGCTAATGGCCTCTGTAACCATGCAGCGTCCACAACTTTTGACGTTTAAACATTCCTCCCCGATCATATTAGATCTTGTTGCAATACAATCAAACAATAAATGTCCCCTCATCTAAAATTTCAAGGAAAGCATAAGCATTATGCAAAGATATTCACCAATCCCAACCCCCCTAATCCTCGAGAGTTATCACACCTCAAATTCCACCAAAACCTCTAACAATAAACGATGATTTCTACCTTAAAAAGAGCACTAGTCCACCTCATCAAATTTTTATTTAGCACCAAAAAGATCACTGAACTCAGATTTGGTTCTATCAAACTAGACCAATTTCCATGCATCAGAATGGTTACTTATACCACCATTAGAAATATCAGCTTAGAATTTTGCATGAGATGCAAGTCCAGAAAATTGTAACAACTCTAAAACACTTTTTCATTAGTTTCTATATGCAAGACTATACTACACTGTTCAAAAAGGCCTGAGATAGACTGTGATGATTAGAACAGTTGTAAAACCTTGAGGAGCTCAAAGCTGTGCAAAGGTAACCATACAGTTTAATGTCATTAAAGATAAACAATCAAATTCAGCCACTCAGTTGCACCTGCCAATATACACTGTGTAACAGCCAGTTCACCATAGCCAAAGAAGATAAGGAAAAAACATTGCCGAAATATACAAACCATGCATGATAATTATACACAGCTATTACAGTATCTAGAAGTTTGTGACCGATTGCACAAAAAAGTAGCATCTATATTTATAATATTTTCAGAGACAGTGAGGTGCAAACATCTTGATTCTTGTTTCATTCCTAATTCCATTATAGAACTAAATAAATAACATAAAAGTTAGGGTTCAGCAAGCCATATTATTATTATTTTTATAGGAATGGCAGGACTCGATAAAAAACCCCTTCATGATTAATGGATCACAAAGTGCTCCTTAATCAGCGAAAGGAGGAAAAGAGTGCCTTATAATTCATTAAAACCCAGAAAGTACATAATACTTAGGGAACAAAGCATATAAGCTCCCTAGACAAACCGGTCGAAAGCCTAAATTATAACAGAAACAAAACAATGAAGCTAGCCAATACCAGCCTTTGCTAAGGCATCAGCCTCAATATTAGCTGACCTAGCAACCCATCTAATAATACCCTCCAAACCTCTTAACTTAGTAACAATTTCCTTCACAAGGTCTATGTATACATAGGGACATCGATCATAGTTCTTGACCCAGTCCACAGCAAGTTTACTGTTGGATTCAACAATTAAACGATCCTTAATCCGTTGCTGGAAATAGCCATAAGCTCTATCAAAATAGGAGGACCTGGACCAGAAGCCTCTTGGAAGGAACCCACCACCGAGCCATCCTCAACTCTTAGAATGCCCCCAATACCACTTTTCCTCCAATCTGCAGTAACAGCTGCATCCACATTCAGTTTTAAATAGCCCTTTAGAGGGCGAGTCCAAGCCACAATTTTTAAGATTGAAGACCTTGAGTTAGAGCAACAATCACCAAGTGAAGGATCACAAATGAGAGAGTCCTTTAGAATAGTCACATCCTTATAGAAAGCTAAGAACCAAGCAGCCAGCCTACATCTTGCCATAAAAAAAAGATCTATCTGATCTAACCTTGAGTCCAAGCCATATTATTAAAAACTGGGTCGCAGAATAAGATGCAAATCTTGTCAAAATGGGACTTGGTCGATGAATTGCACAGAAAGCACAAGAGTTTCCAAGGAAACCATGCTCAACCAAACAAGCATCAAATACAAAGCAACCACCAACTAGCACTGCAACCACACCTCAAAGCTGTGCAAAGGTAACCATACAGTTTAATGTCATTAAAGATAAACAATCAAATTCAACCACTCAGTTGCAACTGCCAATATACAGTGTAACAGCCAGTTCACCACAGCCAAAGAAGCTAAGGAAAAAACATTGCCGAAATATACAAACCATGCATGATAATTATACACAGCAATTACAGTATCTAGAAGTTTGTGACCGATTGCACAAAAAAGTAGTATCTATATTTATAATATTTTCAGAGACAGTGAGGTGCAAACATCTTGATTCTTGTTTCATTCCTAATTCCATTATAGAACTAAATAAATAACATAAAAGTTAGGGTTCAGCAAACCATATTATTAAAAACTGGCTCGCAGAATAAGATGCAAATCTTGTCAAAATGGGACTTGGTCAATGAATTGCACAGAAAGCACAAGAATTTCCAAGGAAACCATGCTCATCCAAACAAGCATCAAATACAAAGCAACCACCAACTAGCACTGCAACCACATGTACAGTTTTATCATCTCAATGGCAATGTAGGAAGATATAGCATAGGATTTATTATTCCTTATGAAATGCTAGATTCAGCCATCAGTCTCTAGACTTGGACAGCTTAAATCCACAGTTGCTAAATCTGTCAGAGAACCTAGACTTAGAAGGAATACATCCCAAGTTCTATAAAATAAAATAAAAATTGACTCATATGATATAAATAGCCAATCGTTAGGAAAATAAAGATGCATGCACCTCAACAAGAAAGGAATGTCTTACTCCCATTAGTTCATTCTATTTTCCCCTCTTTCCCTTTTATTGATTCCAGTACTTTTTTTTTTTTTGAAAGAGGAAAATTTTATTAAGATAAAAAAGAACCATGACTAAGAGCCTCATTAGAAAACCTCCCTAAGCCTAAGAGGAGGAAAAAGAGCACCCAAAGCCATGGTAAAGACAAAGGAGCCAAAACAAGCAGTAGAAGCGCTACCAAACAACCAGAACCCATAACAGAAGTAGAAAACCAGACAAAAAAGACTTAGCAGACCCCTCCCACGAAAAAACCAACCCCACAGAAAGCTGCAAACAGAAAACTAAACAGGAAAAGATGCAAGCGCATACTTGGATAATGAATCAGCAAACCAGTTGCACGATCTGGGAACGTTCTTAACCACAAACTTTTCCTTAAAAACAATCGCAGCACTGTTTTCAATGATGTGTGCCCATTCAGGAGGTGCTCTGGTAGGAGAAACAAACCAGTTCACAACTTCAGAACAGTCACATTCGATAATCAGGTCAAAAACCTTGAACCATTTAGACTCCTTAAAATGCTTAATAGCACGAACAACCGCCAGAAGCTCCGCAAGCAAAGAAGAACCACTACCAATTGATTCTGAAAAGGAAAGAAGCGAAAACGAGTCCGAGTCACGGAGAATCCCACCAATCCCACCCCTACTGCCATCTGAAAGCTGTGTTGATAACTTCTCCATCAATATTAAACTTCTCCGCAAGCAGAGAAGAACCACTACCAATTGATTCCAATACTATTTCAACGTTTCAATCTTCAGCAACTAATACAATTTACTTTTCTACCTTTTATGGTAGCTTTACCCTTTTATCTCTGAAAATCATTGAACATAAAAGCTTCTTTAATAAAAAGCTATATCCCAACATTCTATAAATTATAAAAAAAAAAAATCCTCTTTAGTCTTGAGCATCTATTACAATTTACTTTTTTTATCTTCTATGTCACTCTTAACCTGTTTGGCACTGACTCTAAAACATGACTTAATATATATGTGTGTGTGCGCGCGCAAACTCTGAGGGTCAAAATTCATATTTAATTTCCATGCCAAGACAAACATGGTCAAAGAAGAAAAGACAAATGAAGTAGAACCATTTTCGAAACTATCAATCCAAGAGAGCAAAATCTGATTTGGTAATTAAATATCCTGAAAGAAGAGAAACAAAAGGACCAAAATTATGCTCCCACCACTAGCAACATAACTGTAGGAATTATAGAGATGATTTGTTACCATTCCTATAGAGATATGATTTGTTACCATTCCTATAGAGATATGATTTTGCAAATAGATTTCTACAATCTCTTATTTTAAGGGATCATATCCTAGGATTATTATTTTTCCTTTCTTAGAGCTTCCTACTTTAGAGAGATATTTTGTATATAAATATGTAATCTGTCATATTGAAAAGAATAAGAAATTACAGAGAATTACTCTGAATTCTACATGATATCAGCTTAGGTTACGGTTTCTTTCCAATCTAGATG